CTCTCTAGAGTCAGATCATCTGGGACCGGGTGCCTTTATCAGGACTTCAGTGTCTCTGTCTGATTCTCCCGCAAGTAACACCTCTCTGACCTGTCTGATGACAGCACTATGAAGACATTCAGCAATTTCAGAGACAAAAACCCCCCCTCAGCCAAACCTGCCCCTCTTTCTCTCATATTTTTTTTTTATTTGGCTAGCCTCCATTCAGCGAATTACCTCCAGATGTAATTCCTATCCCCGCCCCCACTGAATTAGTGGCTAGTAAAAATTAGGTTTAAATTAGCTGTGGCATGGAGAACGGTTAAGTTTAAAATGTCCTTATAATGAGTTTATTATTCTTTGGTGAGATTCCATTTTCCTGAATTAATTCTCTTTCTCTTTTTTTTAAGTAATTTGCTGTCTGATTGAATAGAATCAAACCTCAGGATTGGATGTAGCTCATGCTACTTTTTGTGTTTTGGTGTAATGTGAGAATACATAGATATGTCCAACTTTTCTGTTGCTTTTTATCACGGTTTTTCTTTTTTCCCCATCTTTGTGATTTCATAAAAGAAATGTTAAAGAAAAAATGTATATGTTTGGAGTATTTGTGATCTGATTTTGTGAATTTGTACACTTTAAAGGCAGTGTTTTCCAAGAGGCTAGCAATAGCAAGCTAGCTTTGAAATCATAAGATCCCACACCCTCCCTTCAGAGCGCCTCCAAAGCCACACATTCGGACCGAATTCAATGATTGGTCGAACATTTTACACCTTCCACAGACGAAATACAGTATAAATACATTTAGACCACTAAACTTGGTGATTACTATCAGGATGTGAAGAGGCTTTCAACCAGCATAACAAAAAAAAAAAAAAATTCTGGAACAAATCACCTATACCCTTAGCCTGACTTCGTCATACTCATATTCTAGTCAGAATGTGAGTCTGATACTGCTTCATAGGGCTTTGATTATGAGGCGTGTCTTAACCGAACCAGGAAAAAAAAACTCTGCACTCAATTGGATAGACCTACAACCAATGAGAGCAACGCAGTAAGTCAACTACTTTGCATACCACAGTTGTCAACTACAGAACTCAAATGCATGCACGCTGGAAGAAGTAAAATAACGAGTGTTGCTTCTTTTACTTGGTCCTCTATGAGTGCGACCAAAGGAGAAACCACAATGAGCACAGGGTTTTCATTGCGTCCCATCTTCTTAGTTACCATCGGAGCCAGCTGATAAATTAAACTTTTGCCGAATCCCGTAGGAAGGACGGCAAACACATCTTTCCGATCGACAAATGCCTTGATTGCAGTTCTATGTTCGTCTTTTAAAATGAATGCGCTGTCGATTTCTTTTACAACGGACGCGATAGCGGAATCTCTACCTCTCAGTTTTCCAGCGGCAGTCATCTGTGAGGGAAACCAGTTCAACCCAAGCGCTCTTTGATAACGTGAGGATTACGTCCCCTGCAGATCATCTGTCCATCATCGTATAAAGCCCGCCCTGGCAATTTGATTGGCCCGACGATTTCTGAACCGATCATAACTACTCCTCAATGGAGCAAGTCCAGACCGAACTTACCGATCAAAAAATGTTGTGGGCGGGGTTCGGGCTGGCATCCAGGCTACTATACCCTGCCTTCAAGTAGCAAATTTAACAGACTAAGACCATTTATAAGTATCTCTATTAATATTGGGGTTAGTGATTTGAACAAACCTTTAACCCTAAGTATTCAACTTCAGTCTTATTGAGCAGAAGTACGCAAAGTGTTATGTTTCCAAGTAAATGCACTTGGGATGGTTTTTGGCCTCTTGATTTCTGCTGCTAAGCAACACCTTAAAAACCACATAGCAACACCCTGGCAACAACGGAAATGGGAAATAAAGAAAGCTAGGCGTGATCCTTTGTATTTTATTAGTAAATTATTAACTAACTTTATGTATCTTAATTTGAAGAATAAAGAAATTACGCAGACAGAGCAAAGTTCTTTAGTGTTATAAAAATAGATGTTTTTTGTGGTAATTTTGATAAGCTTGTTGTGTTAAATTTATGTGTAAAACCATTTATTAAACAAAGATGTCTTTTATCTTTCGAGTTGTTTGAGTCTTAAAAAAAACAAAGGCATAACCGGTTTTAGAGGGATTGTTTGTTTATCTTTGTCATGTTGACAAACATGTTCAATTTATTACCAAAACCGTTTTCTTTATTTTTCCTCACAATAATGTATGTTTTTAACCCCGTCTTTTATCTTTTGAGTTGTTTAGAAGTCTAAAACTCAAAAGTATGACTGTTTTTAGAGGTTTCTTTTGTCATGATGATAAACACGAAATGTACAAAAGACCTAGTTTTCTTTATTTTGCGTCTTAATAATCAATGTTTTTTTTTTCTCCCGTCTTTAATCTTTTGAGTTGTTTAAGAGTCTAAAAAACGAAATGTATGATTGTTTTTAGATTTTTTTGTGTGTTTTTTTTTGTCATGTTGACAAACGTGGTCATCGTTGAGTGCTTGTCATGTTGCCTTTCATCTTATTACAAGTTTGGCAGCTCCGAGCGCATCAAATACCCATTACCTGCGTATCTCCAACAATGCCACGCTAATACAAATTACAGCCTTTACAGTATGATAATATCTCTTGAGCGAGAGAGGAAGTCGCCTGCCATTCAGTTTGCTTTCATCTGCCGCCAACCTGCCGCATAACAGGTAAACTGCTGTGAGCTGCACTTGCTTGTATAAATTTACCCACACAGTCAAGTCTTTGATTTCATCAACTCATCTAATTCAAATGCGCTTTTGAAGGAGCCCACATTTTAAGGGTATAGACACAGAAGAGCCAATTTAACCTGGAGTGTCTGTCTCGTTCTGCGGGGCTTTCTGTTTGAAGTGGCCGGTCAGCTTGAACTGTCTGACTTCTGTCATTTCGATCTCTTTTATTTCTCCACTGAAATGTATACTTCAATCCTCCCTACAGATGCTAGAGTGGAGCAGGTATCATTAAACGGAGAAAGCGAGAACATCGCCGAGTCTTCGCCGCGGCTGCTGGTTTATGGGCGTTGATGAGTGCGGACTGGTTTGTTTTCAATAGGAACTGAAGGCAGGGCCCTTTTCCTGGGGCCGCTCGCTGCGCCTGTTGATATTGAGTCGAGCAAACACTCTCTCTGGGATGTCCTGCCGGGCGTCCGGCCAGGGTCGCAAATGAAAGTCACATGCGAGGAATCCTGCACAGGGATCCTCTGAGCTGAAGCCGGCCCCCGCCTCGCTCCTGGCCCCTGAGCTTAATTAGCTTTTTAATGGAGGTGCCACCAAACGTAGCTTATTTACCGGCGCAGATAGCGGCTTATTTTGATGTGCGTTACGACTCTGAGCTCTTTGAGACTCGGGGTTGTTATTTTCAGAGTAATGCTGTGGATTAAACGCACATCTTATCTTGCGCTCTTGTGATTGTTGAGCTTTGCTGCATCCCCCTCCCTTGCCTACTGAAGTATATATGCAAATACATTTGGACACTATCATTATAGGCTACTTAATAGGACTTCATTAAGGTTCCGCCATGCAAGGCAAAATGAGGTTGCCATGGATACCGCGGCACTTAAGTACAGTATATTATAATGTTTAGCTGCCTGTTATATAATCATTGTGCTCTAATGGTCCATTTCAGGTCATATCGATCGGCGATGAAGAGCATCATTAAGATGAAGAGAGGCCGGTCTTATGAGTTTGCCATTAATCTCTCTTTTTCTTTACGTTTTGTAACTTAAAAAGAGAATTGGGGTGTGGATAGATCAAGTCATGGTAATCGAACTGTGATTTTCTTGCCTTGAGAAATGCTAAGAATCACCACAGATGCAACATTCTTGAGCTAAAAACTAAAATAAGCTTTTTTGGACCATACATTTGAAAAATGAATAGGTAACACTTTATTTTAAGGTGACGTGGACGTAGTTACACGTTACTACATCTATAGTCTTAACAGTAAATTATGCATAATTACAAGTAATTATTTGAGTAAGTACAATGTAAGTACGTCACCTTAAAATAAAGTGTAACCAATAAATATTAGTGGATGATCTATTTCTGTTTTGTACATGCCATGGTCAATGGGCAATATATTACTCATATAGGTGTATATAATATGCTTAAAATAATACGTCATAATTTAATGATAAAATTCATGATCATTTCATGAATTATATATATATATTATTATTATTATTGGTCATGCTTTTTGTAGATTTTGACACAAGGGGGAACTAAAACTTCTGTTAGTTGACCAAGCAGGTGGTTATTGACTCATTAGGGACTTACGTACTGTTGAATTTACAGTGTTCTTTTTGTTTAAATCCCGTGCATGTATATTTTCTGTATACATGCAGACCCACAGCTGAGAGTTTATTAGGGCTGTTTACAAGCGTCAAGTGCGTTCCAAAGGCTCAGTCATCAGCCGCATGGATCGGAGGCGGAGATGAGCTCAAGTGGATAACTCTCCAGCCAGAGAACAGCTTTAATGCTGCCGGCCTTTCTGTGAGGCCTGAAACACACATCAGACTCTCAGTGAGTGCACACTAGCTCAGCGTAATCTGCTGTTAGCTCAGTCTTTAGTGGTGGTCAACCGGTAGGAGTCTTTCATGGGCTGATGCTGATATCTAGAGCAGGGTGGCTGATATAATACCCATATAGCTACTGTGACGTTTATAAATTCACACTGAAAATGCATGGAATTAAAAATCTAATCTAAGTTTTGCATTTTGAAAGAATAATAATAAAAAAAGATAAATATGTATATATATAGGTCACTCATTAAATATGCAAATTTGTGACCATGGTCATGTGATTGTACAGACGGTCATATTTCACGATTAATTTGGATCATCTCCACACGTGGACAAACATAATCATATATAGTGGAGTTCATGCATGTTAACTCGATTTGTATAATTTGTACCAAAAAAAATATATTTCTAGTGATCCCAACTTTATAGTACAATTGAAGGGCCGCAAATACCTTATTTTACACAATATTTACTTAAAATTCAGCAAAAATTGTAACCTTAAGCTTTTATTGCAATTGACAATCCTGTCAGATTTTAAAACTGACACAAGGGGGAGGTAACACCTCTGTTAAACAACCAAGGGACATAATAGAGATGATAATGCTAACATGTACACTTATTATCTTATCAATTGCTAATATTAGCATGCATGAGTTTCAGTTATGGTTTTGGTGTTGCAACTGGTGTGATTGTGAAATAAAAAACAGTGCTTAGATGCTCAGTGGTGTGATTTTTGTCACTATGAACAAGCCCAGTAGTGTCATTTGCTCCAAAAAGCCCTGGTTTCCCCCAGTGTGCTCTTGACACCTTCCCTAGTCTCGGGGCAGGACGTTTTGTGTCTGCTTTAATTGAAAATTAATAGTTAGAGGGGTTGCCATGGAAATGATGCCAGCGCTCAGAGACACCAACTCTGCCACCGCTGCCGTCCGTCACACGAGTCCATCCCCCCTCAAACGACACTTTCTTCTGCATGCGCTCGAGAGACGCTGCTGGAATTGTTTGTCCTCATTGACCTTGCAGTCCAAATCCCTGTGAAATGAGGAGGGGAGTAAAGAGAGAGAGAGAGTTAAGTGAGAGACAGACAGAATAAAACCTGATAGGAGCGAGAACTGAGAACTGCTATCAAGCGCTAAAAGCTAAATCGGCCTGTTTGTCTCGTGAAGTGAAGGTTAGGGCGCGATGTTGCCCTTAGCGATTGAGACGAAATATAAATAATATGATGCATTAGACGTGATTCATGTGGTGACGCCGAGATCTGGAGGCCTTCCATGCCTGCCAGAGAAACCTTTTACACCTCCTCATTGAGCGTTTGCCCTGGTCTGGAGTGGCCTAGAAACCTTTTGGCTCGAGCTCAATAGTTTCTAATGATATAATACAGTTAAAGTATGTTCCAGTAGAGCTGGTAGATGATGTGCTACTTGGAGCTTGTTATATCATGCTCAGAGCGGGGATTTCAGGTGGTCTTACGGCTATTTTTTTTTTTTTTTTAACTAAATAAATGTGTCATGCTTGGCTTGGGTGGATTGTTCACAACATAAAAACGACACACGTGATGTGTGCTTCTTTTTTTTTTAGACCTTCTACACTTGTATATGAGGTAATTGATTTTACTAGCAGCTTGAAATATGGAATTGTTCAGTCGTCCATTTTCAGATAAACCACGTGCAAAAAGCATCAACGTCAGTCTTTTGTATTTAAAATCTGCTCGTTCACGTCTCCCCCGTTCACCAACAGCTGGTTCCTCGTTCGCGTTCCAGCGACGTCAACGCGAACGCTTCCCAACGACCCTCACTTTTCAATCTCCATGTGGCGATGGGAAGCCTGCAGCAGATGGACTCGATTTTGCATCTGCCGCGTGCAGACTGGCCTTTGTGCTCCTCTCCTGGGGGAGAGCGTGGCTCTCGTCTCTGCGAGCGGATTCCTGTCTGCGGGAACTGCTAGGAGAAACATCTGTGGCATGCGGGGTGAGGGAACGAGAAAAGGGGTTGACAAACACCATTAGTTCAGTCGTTGACAATACCACAGATACGAAAGCGAACGATTTTGTGGGTTTGACAACAGTCAGTACATAGTGCAAATAATCACGATTAACATCTGTAAAGGTAAATTTGCAAACCTTCTAAAGTGGTTTCCAAGCTTCTTCTTTTTTCTCCCTCCTCGCTCAAATATTTCCCTCGTAAGGACTTTTTTGGGGTTAGTTTGACCTAATAAGGAAAGCAGCAGGCATATTTATTTATTATTTCCACCACACTATCACTCAACTTGCTAAAGTAGCCCTATCATCCATCTCGAAAGAAAAAAAAAGGAAACACAGCGAAAAGTGTGTTTCCTCCCCCCCTCCCCCCCCACCCCCACACACACACACACACCTCCCCAACCCTGACAATCAAACCGCTGATTTTTGTGTACGATTAGTCCTCGGGTGCCAAAACAATCAGAGGTCTGCTTGATTTGTTTTAATTACAGGCGTAAAAATGCCACGGGTTTCTCGGACGTGATCGAGCAAGAGGCAAAGCTTTGCACTGCTCACGTAAATACCACTGTAAATAGTTCTCTAATGATGGCTTTGACAGTGAACGTCAGCTAGTTTTACCCCCCCCCCCCCCCCCCCTCCTATTTTTTTTCTTGCTCTGATGCTGTTGCCTACCAGTGGCATCCTATTCCTCATATTTGATGCAAGTTAATGCTTCAAGGCTTCTAAGAATATCTTCAAATGCCTCTACCTTCGGGGAGTGGGATTGTGTGTCGTTCCTCAAAAGGTAGGTTAATTATTTTTTTTCCTGGCTGAGAGTGTTGTGGGTTTTTTTTTTTTTAGAAAACGCTAAGCTCACTAGTTTGTTTGCAGACTTGCGTCGCCCCCCGTCTTTGAGAAGGTCACATGCTTGCTAATCTCATTCAAGCTGGAATGAATTTAAAAAAAAAGGCAGGCACACGTACCTTGCGTTTTTAGGGGCTCTGGACGTCCTCCACAGCTGGCCGCGTGTGTTAAATCCCCTCTCAGTTGGAGTCCGAATGCAGGAGAAAAAGAGGAGAAGGAGAGAAAGAAAGTGTGTGTGCGTGTGTGGTGAGCCGCGCGCTCAAATGAGAGCTGCGAGAGGCGTCTGGCGGAGAGCGATCCGAGTCCCCGGCTCCGCGCGCAGGCTGTGAGGGAGCGCTCAGACGCTGGTGCGCATGGTCACACACACACACACACACACACACTCTCACACACACTCGCTTCTTTCACTCAGCAACTCAGTCAGCAAGACGAAAGACTTCCTTTTTTTTAAAGAAAGAAAGAAAGAAAAAGAGGGAGAGTAACACATTTTTGAAGAGCATTTTAAGAGGAAGCACAGATGCAGGAAAATGTGCAATGATTAGTTGCATTTTTGGAGAGTTTTGAGAGATTTAATGCTAATGATGCCAGTATTTCCAGTGCGTCACAAAAGGCAGAAAAGCTCCGGGTCAGGGCGACACATTTCCATTTTAGGCACTTTTTTCATCACCTCCCTTCGTTCCCGGCCGGTCGCTCGGCTTCCCAAAGCCCCGCGTCTCCTATTGGGCCCTGTCTGCGCGCTGTCGTAATTGCTTGGTGACAAGTGGAGATGAAGGAATAATTGTCAGGAGATAGGGGTCGTTTTTTTTAATGGGTGCACTGCCGATTTAAGTATGCATGAGCGACGCGTGAGGGACGGGGCCAAAGAGGCGCTTGTTTATGATGCGAGTCTGTATAAACACAGTTGGAGTGATGACACTGATAATCGCACGCTCTTCCCCGTGATGCACGACTCTCCGCGAAACACCCTGTCCAGCTTGCCGTACCACACTGCTCACCTGCAGGTAATAAAACCACCTTTTCCTCTATCCATCCATCCATCCATCCATGCTTTCCTACTTTCACCCATCCATCGGGACTTTTCAGTCTCGCTGTCATCCCTCAAGGCTTAAGGCATTCTCCGGCTTGGTTTGTGGGCTGCTTTCATCTGCGGGTTAATTGCTGGTGATAATGGCAATGACGATAATGAATGTGGTTTTGTGCGGGTGTGTGTGCGCGTGCCGTAAGGTGTGTGTGAGTGTGTGTGTTTCTCGTGTGATTTGACTTTGCCTAGTAGGTGATTTTATTTGAAGTGAAGTGTTTGTGGAGTTTATAGTGTGCTGATGGGAAATTAAATCATTTGAGTGCTTTTTATGGCTTTATTTTCTGTATATTAGCAATTCAATATTTTTGTGAGCAGCTATTGGAATTTTTAGCAGGCTTATAAATGTAAAATAGTAATTAGTTTTACGTGTGTATTTCTTTTTTTCTTTTTTTAATTTGAAAGAGTTAAGATTTCAGTCTCCTAAAACTTCAACGAGCCTGTCCCATTTTGGAGGTGGGGTCAGTCAAATGATTAGCCCTCGAGTACTAATTATCCCTAGCAAAGGCGGGCAGACAATTTGTTTACTTAAATATTCATAAGGGTGAGCGACGCTCACTATTGGGCTATTGTGAGCATATTATTAAGTTTTTATATGGCTTTGTGCTGGAATGTGGCGATGTCTTCTTTATAATTTAATACTCTGATGCATAATGAGCTGGGTGATTAGTACATATGGAGAATTTACATTGTTCTCCTGAGTCTGATTGTAATAGCTTGTTTAGTGTGATCAAATTAAATGCTGCATATTTGGTGTTTTTTTCTTATGCAAATCCCCTCACTGAACTTTTTTTTCATGCCTCCTTTATACCCTCTCAAAAAATAAATAAAAAGAAAACAATAAACAAAACAAAAAAGGAAAATATGAATTTCAATTTTTTTTAAACCATAACACGTTTACCAACGTTTTTTTATTATTTATTTTTTCGAAAGAGCCCATGCCAATTAACATCGCTCGTTAGCCGAGGCGGTTATTTGTTTTGAAAGTTTAACCAATCACTTTGTTATGCTAATTGTGATGTAATTTAATTTGAGTCCCGTAATGATGATGCCGCTATTATCCCCATAAATGATGCAGTTAAGCATCACAGCCTTATTTGCATGTGCTTGAAGGGAGAAGCTGGATGAGACGACGCCAGCATCACTCTCGTTTTCCTCCCTCTGTTCTCCCACGTCCCTCCGGGTCCTCCTCGGCCTGTCTGCGCTCATTGATGATCAGCCTTTTTTATCTGATATTTTAATGCGAAATGAGTCGACTGGTTACTCACACCGCACAGATGTAAATTAAATAATTGAAATACCAGACTATTAAAAAATGCAAATGATTTCTTCAGTCGAGGCATCATCACACAGTGAAGTCATGGAGAAACGATTGATTTGTATTTTCTTTCTCTTATTGTACTAGTTTGCAATCTACCTCCTTGAGTTCACATTTGCACATCAAAGTGCTTCTTTGTTGGTGAGAGGTTAATTTTTAATCCATTGATTTCATGGCCTCTGGTTTGGACATGCAGATGGTGGCTGATTAGTTAGCGTGTGTGTGTGTGTTCCTGCAGTCGTGCGGTTGAATTTTTAGAAAAAAAAAAAAAAATCAATTTGAAAGTCCTACAAGAGCCGCTTCCCTCTTTAAATGCACTTCTGAGAACCCTTCAGCCCAGGCTCTCGCTCTGTGACTAAGTCTCCCTTAAAGACTGCCCATTATCTATTTTGTCGAGGTTTTAGACTCTGGGTAATTTTCCTCGGGAAAGATTATTTTTCTCTCGACCAATCTCGCCTGTTACCGCCCTAATTGGTTACATAAATCTTGTCGGGTATGAATGAGAAATGTTGCGGTGTTGTCAAGTGTAATCTTCACCCTTATTTACCAATTCATTAAGATCTATCGATGCAGGACCAGGCCGAAAGAATGACAACATAAATCAGAGCAGTGGGACATAATGACCCTAATCAGCCTCAAATAAGTGGAAACGTCACCATGAGCTATGTCTCTCTGAGTTCGTGTCTGTGTGGCGGCAGCAGGGCCGTCCCGGTCGTTAACGCGGCCGCGTGTCCCGGGCAGGGGCGAGCACGCTTGCCCCCTCCACCCCAAGCCTTTTAATCTCGCCCCACACGCAGCCGGTGTCACAAAGGATAATTGCGGCACGAAATGAAATGAAATATGCGTTTTGAGGCAGGTAAATAGTGAAAGAAGATGGATAAATAGTGAGAAAGAGAGCGAGGGAGAGACTGTCTCCTCCTGCCAAAGATGATTGGAGCAGACAATGGGGCCTCCTACTTTTATAGGTCAATTACTGGTGATTAGGTGGGTTGAGTTAATTAAAGAAATTACCCAAAATGCAGGCACAGGGACTGCTTGATGAGATACCAGCGTCACTGTCTTGTCACCCACGTTTGGAGAGGGAGGTGCTTGCTGGGTAAAATTTGAATCAAATGGAAAGACTTGAAACACTCACTCACTTTTCTCTTCTTCTTTTTTTCCGGAAGCGCTGGAAAATCTGAACCGAATCTCCGGCTTTGTTGGTCACAACGTGTTTAGCATTTATGAATTGTGTATGTTTTTTGGGTTTTTTTGTTGTTGTTTCTCAAGGATTTGGTTTTGTTTCAGAGCTTCTCCAGGATTTATTGCAGTGTTCTTTTGTCCTCTCAGTCTCTGTGCTTCCCCCCTCCTCTTTCTTTTCTCCTTCTTTTAATGTAAATAGCCCAGAATCAAGTTCTGAACATTCAGCGCTGAATGAATCGAATCACAGATGGTCTATTTATCATGAGTGAAACGATGAATTGAAATTTTTTTCTTGAATGTGTTCTCATTTTACCACTGATAACAACACTTGATTCGGTTACTTTGCATACTATTAATCCTGAAAAGCGATGTATTCATCCTCCCTTTTCATTTTTGAACTCGTGGTATAAATATGATTTCCCTCATGCTCTTTTTACTCTGTAATCTCGTCCATTGTGAATCACTTTGAAATCCCTCTGTCTGAGAAGAGGGGGCCTGTAATATTACATTCAGGTTTAGAGGAGAGTCATTAACGGTGTACGGTGACCCCTAAGAGCCAAAAAGGACTGCTGGCATGCGTTGTTTAACTTTAAGACTGTGTTTTTTTAGGTGTTCAGTGGCATTTTTAATGATCATATTCTCCATTTCACGTGTCGTACAGATGCACGGACTGAAATTCCAACTTTGCATCATCGTTTTTTTTTTTAAATCTGGCATTTTGATTTATTAAGCATTCCCGACTGTTAAATATTGGAGAATAGTGGAGCGCCGCGCTGCTTTATTTTGTATGCATTGTAACTTATGGCAATGATGAATTAATTTCAGTGGAGCACAGAATTTGTGATTATTTTAAATGGTATCCATATCTTAACTGAATCAGAGCGAGTGAAGCTAGCAGACTGTGAAATGTAATTTTTTGCATTTTTTTTTTTTCCTTGCAATGTTAGGATTCCGGGCACCTGAGCAATGCACTGATAATGACTAGTCTTCTTGGATCACGGAGTCTGCCTTTCCTATGCCTCCCTGAAATAATCATCAAGCTCTTTTTCAGGTCTGTTCTGCTCGTCCTATCAGGGGAGAGGGCTGCCGGTTTCCACGGGAGGGGAAAAATGAAGTGGATGATTTCTGTGTGTGTTAATGTCACAGTTGCAGCCTCTGGTGCCCCTTTTCAGCGACTTGTATAAAACGTCCCGCGGTTTCCGAGCGCCTTAGATGATGGAGAACTTGGTATTGATATCCGAGCCCCGATAAGAAGGGTGCTGCGTTTGATAATGAGGCAACATTTGCGGTTGTAAAATCAGATCAGCTCAAACAAGCATGAGTAACTTTACTCCTTCGTGATGAGGAGTGTGTGTATATGAGAAACATCTGGGCTATATTTGTGGCTTTCTCTACCCACACCTTTCTTTGCTAACCCACCCACCCGAAATCACAGGCGGAGCCCTTGAATGCGTTGTCAGGATCCTGTCTGGGATTTTTCACCTGATGGAAAGGACAGATTTGCACAGCCTACGATTCGAGAGCAAACATTTGCACAGCCAGAAAGGAATCGCACGCCTGGTACTGTTACAGCGTTTAAAGCACAAAAAAAAAACACAGCGAGAAAAGAAACAGATCCAAATAACATCTTTTATTCCAGAAATGGAGCGATTTGGTTTTTATCAACCCCTCCTGAATACACACCAGCACAGATTTTCCTTTAGATTATGACTGTTATCAAGATGATACGGGTAATAACGGCTCACAAGCTCTGTGTTTATCACAGCGACTCACTGAAATGTGTTTTAGGACTCGTCCAATTTTCCGGTGTCAAATGGACCGGAGCTTTTCCACACTAGGAGTACAGCGAGGGCTGTAAATATTGTTCCAATAGCACGAACCCTCGACCCCAGTGGGTTTTTAGGGAAAACCAGTGTGTTATAGTGACAGGCGTTGGGTCTCAAGGGTCAGAGACGGAGAAACGAGGGTCATGCAATAGAATGAAGACAGACTTTGGGTGCTGGCTTTCTTCCCTCTCTCTCTTTCCCTCTCGCTCCGTCCATCTCTCTCAGGCGGTACAGTCCCGTACTAGACTCTCTCCTTCACTCAGTGTCACTCAGACGCGTAAACCACCCACCCTCCTCGCGTCCGCTCCATCGCGTGGAAACGATCGCGAGCGAGGATGTGTTTCTAATTGACATTGTAATTGGCAGATTTGGATGCTGCCTTCAGATGGCTAATTAATTTATCTCACCGCTGTCATTAAGGTTAAAGCAGCACCTGATCTCTCTGAATACACTTTGCATACATCTGCATGAGCATTACGTTCAGTTAGACACCTACACGCCAGTTGTGGATCATGTGGATTTAGAGGATACAGTGTTAATAATGTGTGTTTCTATAATGACAGGATCAGTATTCCGCGTCATTAAACCCAAAACCAAATTTGAAGTGAAAAAGAAAATCTTTTTCTTTTCTTCTTTTTTTCTCAAATATTACATCAAAATGTAATCTGTTCTTCAGTTATTTAAAAACATGTGTGTTTAATTTTGGGAATAATCAGTTTGTCTTTTTATAGAAGTCATATTTGAATTTCTAGAGTGCAAACTGGGATTACAGTGATCCGAAATGTAATTTTAATTAGCATTCCCCCCTTCCCCCCTTCCCCCCCCCAACCCCACTTTGGAGTAGGAACAGTGTCCTAAACTCATGCCTTACTTTTTAGTCTCCTTCATTGTGGCATTAAAAAACACTCCATTACGTTGTTCATAAAATTCGCGTAAAGGCAATCAAGAGGCCCTTCTCTGAATATTTTAAACATTGGGCATGTAAAATTTATGCCTAATTTGAATACTTATTAGTCGCCTAATCTCTACGGCAGCTTTGTGTTTCTTCAGGAGAGATTCGTCAGCACTCACACTGTGTGTGTGTGTGTGTCTCTCTGCTTCTTTTTCTCTCTTTCTCCTTGTCTGTTAATCTTCTGCACTTTTGTAGTTGTTTTTTTGACCAGTGGTGTACTTTCTAAATAAATGTTTTAAAAAAAAAAACAATCTTTTTGCTTCTTGTGTTTGTCATAAAAACGCAAGCCGAGCCGTTAAAATGTAATTTGCTGATCTGAAAAGCAGCCGTGGATTAGAAGACTATGTCTTTGTTGTGTCGTGCGTTTGATTAGCGGCGTTCTTCTTTCTTTCTTTCTTTTTTTTTCCGTGGCTCGGCTGTCGAGTTACTGTACGCTCTCGTTCAAAGATCGCTGCTAATTGTCCGTACGTAGCAGGTGACAAAATTGATGTGTTTAATCTGTGGAAAGAAGGATGGCGGAGCTGTCAGGGAAATAAATGAAAGTGTTGCAGGAAAAACGAATCCCCTCTAAACATTACACGAGATTAGGGATATTTTATTGTGCATGCTTGCCATTAGCGTAATTAATATTGTTTATGTTTGAATGCGCTGAAATATGAGACGGCCTGTCATCATTTTCTGAGAGAAACAAAATGTGTAAGGGGAAGAGAGGAGGGGGGGTTCGATGAATATGTGAATGACGGAGGAGATCGGGTGTCTCTGTGTGTGTATTAAGGCTCTTGTGGGTATATTAGCTATGCAGAACACACCTTGAATCGAGTTTGTTGGGTCTGACGATTCTTTTATTTATTGCGGGGATCTCCACAGATCTTGCCAGGGTTCCTGTGAACGTACACAACATTTATGCAGGGAAAATGATAAAACATTTATTACCAGAGAAGAGGTAATATGCATAATTTATGCTGTTTTTAGCACAATCATTAGTGATATTCGTGAAAGAATTTTTTTTTTTTTTTTGCATCCACCACTCTCCTCTGTTTTGATTTCCAATAGATGCCAGTGGAAATTAATTTAATATTTTTTCATTTATTTGCCTGGGTAAAAATTGACGTGTGCGATTTTTGTTCTGTTTGAATCTTAATTGTGCTCGGCGGAAGCCGTTAAATATACGGAAGTAATGAATATTTGAGTATGTGATTAAAATAAAAGGGAGGGAAAGAACTACCCTATATGTGACATAAGATTTTTTTTTTCTCTCCTCATTTGACTAGCAGGCAAATTTTATTTTGCTTCAGCTAAAAGAAAAGACCATTATATCATTCATCACAGTACAGAAGCATGTGATTTGTAATTCCCCCTCTTCTCCCCTCACCTCCTGTACCAAATTTTAATTTTGCATGATTAGCTGTGCGTCATTAAGCAACTCCGTTCAGTCGAGACGCAACGGGGATATTTTAAGACTTTCGAACAGGGGGAAAAAAAGGACGTTTCTTACATGGTATATTTCAAACATGTGCCTTTTGAAATGATTCACACAGCATTGAAGTCACTTGAATTTATTTTTAAACAACATTTGTGATGTTTATCTGCGTGGGATGGTCGACATGCAAAGAATACAATTCAAAAAAGCATTCATTAAGTGAAATATAAAAAACGAAATAAAAACAATAAAAGGCAGGAAGAAACGTGCAATCGTGCATCTCTTTGTATTGCTTCATTTACACAGTGAATGCATAATTCCACCCCTCCCCCCTTTAAATGCTTTAATTTGCAAAGGGAGCAGGGGTTGATAATGGAAAGCTTTTTTTTTTCGCCCCCATTTTTCTTTTTTCTTTTAACCCCCCTCCTTTTTTTTTTTTTAGGAGGCAACTAAAGGGGATTGTAACAAGAGCCTTAACCGGTGCCTCTTAATCACTTCTAGGTATTAAGTCATGATGCAGGAGTCGGCCAATGAGACAATAAGCAACAGTTCAATGAGTCAAAATGGAATGAGCAGCCTAAGCAGCCAATTAGATGCTGGCAGTAGAGATGGAAGATCAAGTGGGGAGACGAGCAGTGAAGTAAGCGCAGTCGAGCTGCTGCATCTGCAACAACAGCAG